AGTTCATTACCTTGGAAGATGGTGTGGCAAAGCAAATTGCCTCCACAGGTAGCATTTCTATTGTGGACAGTTATGAGGGGGCAGATGTCAACGATAAATAATCTTCGACGAGTGGTGCTATATGTGCAAGAAGGATGGAGAGACGATTGATCATTTATTCATTCATCGTGATGGTGTACGTTGGTTTTGGAATAGTATTATGGCTTCTCAATTAATGGATTGGGTGCTACCTAGGCGTATAGAAGACGTGGTGCGGGCATGGAGTAGTAAATTTCGCGATAAGGATAGCAAACTTCTTTGGAATCTTATCCCGGGATGCATTGTATGGTGCATATGGAGAGAACGGAACGATCGATGTTTCGAAAACCAAATAAAGACAACAGAGCAGATAAAAGAATTATCTTACTTGACTTTGTATATTTGGTTTAATACAGTGGCTAAAAATCCTGTTGTAGGGTTGCCTAATTTCATGTTGTTCCTTTCATGCTTAAAGTGATTGTATACCTCCCGTGTACTCTCTTTTAAGAAATAAAATTCTCTCATTACCTATAAAAGAAAAAAAAAAGTAATCATACAATTAAATCAGTTAATCATAATTATATACAATGATATATATCAATACACATATACTATAAATATTCATATCATAAATATATAGTTTAGGAAATTGCACTTGTAGTCCCTCAACTATTGGTCAATGTGCAATTTGATCCTCATCTCATACTTTTAAACTAAGGTCTTAATTTTTCATAATTAATGATTATAAAAGACTTGGGGGTATTATAGTGGTTCTCCTTCGTCAGGGCAGTCCTGAGAAGAATATTTTCTTTGATACCGGGGCTATTAACGTTTACAAGTAAAATATCGGAATAAATCTTTTCGAATACATTGAAAAGTGGTATTCTCAATTTTGATATTTGCTGTCTTGATGCAATTCAAGACTCTTTGATGGCTTAAAGATGCATGCCTAGATGTGATGAGGTGGCAAAATGCTTGCAGTGCTTTTATAAGATATTCTTTTTGGTTTGTTTGGACTAGTTGAGTTACAGCTGTTTCTCTTTGTTTCTTATGGGAGGAGCTATCTTTATTTCTTTATTGCCTTGAAGACGTTTTTCTACTCTATAGGCTAGTTGGATGCTGGGGTGGAGCCAAGATTTATTCCGGTGGGTATGATGACTCTACTACTAATAAAATTTTTGTAATAAGATAATAATATGAGGTACTAAAATATCAAAATATTCTCTCTGAAAAATTACAATTGTTCCTTGCATATCTTGGTACTTTAGACACTTTATAATGAGCTTATTATTTTGCTATTGACTTGGATTCAACTTTAACTGTCATAGTTGAATAACTTCACACATTTCCTGCTTTCAAACTAAAAAATAGGAAGCCAACAATTTTAGGAAAAATAATCATATTTTGGTCAGGATAGTGACCTCAAAGAATAATTCAACGGGAAAAGATTAAAAAAATAATTTGATGAAATAAATTCAAAAAGCAGTTAAACTTATAGAATGTCGTTGATAAACAAGTATTCCTTGTCAAAATTAGAGTAAAATTACACAAATGCTCAAACAAAGAGTCCAAAAAAGAGTATTGATAGAAACTGAAGTTTAGAAAGACTTGTAGTCTGGACTATCAAATTAGGTATTGAAAGTGTCAGACTTAGTTTGTGGTTGGGCCATCTGAATAATAGTAATAGAATGTACATGTCTTCAGCAGGAGTAAATGCAAAGGCATTTTTCTTAGCCCTCTACATGTTGGGGTAAATGCAGGGCAATGAAGGGATCTTTTCACCCTGCTAAAACCTAGAGGAGAAATCTCGTGTCTTTGCCACGTGTTGCATGGAATATTCGTGAGCACTACTTAAAAAGACTTGATTGGATACCAACGCTTTTTACCTATAAATAAATTAATAAAAGCACAAAAATAAACTCATAATAAACCATAAAGCTTCTTGACAATTTATAATAAAATAAATTAATAAAATTAAAAGTCTTGCATGCAAACAGAAGGTAATAATAATAAGTTTTGAAATTAGTAACTCATAAAAAATTGCAACATATTATTAGAATAACCTTGAAGTCTCTTGCATCACCGCCACTAACATTGTCTTTAAGAGAATAATCAACATATTGGATTTCTTTATCATCTTCTTCATCACTTTAGTTTCTTATCATTTTTCCTCCCCTAGCAATAATGGCTCTTTTTTGAAATTAGAAAAAAAGAAGACAAAGAACTCTACAATGCTCTAGACTAGCTCGAAAAGCTGAGGCCACAAAATAAAATTTCTAGAAAAGGTAAGACAAACGAGTGCATACCTTAGTTGAAGCCTCAGTAAGACGAAGTGTAACCTTGAAAATGGCTCTTGAAGTGTTTAATGAATGCCTTATTTGATGTTTGTATCAAGGCATTAGCATGAAACGACTTTTTAAACAATGGTTGGTAGCAACCATGGTTTGAATTTTTGTATCTGTGACACGGTTTAAAAAAATTATTTGAGGCTTACACCTCGAATTCTGCCTCATGGGAAGTGATCATATAATGCCTCAAAACTGTCATTTTTGAGGATTACACGTCATTTTACTGAGATTTACACCTTGACTTAGTGAGGCTTACGGCTCAAGCCAACCTAAGGTGTTCCCCCGTTTGCCTTGTATTTTTCAAATATTTAATTATTAGCTTTAGTCTTTTAAGTTAGTACTTTGTAACCTAAGATGTTTCAAGAGTTCTTTTATTTTCTTTCTTCTATGTACACAGAAAGAACATAGGAAGGAAAATAAACCATTGCATTGGAGGACGATGACAAATAAAAAAAGAAAAAGAAAAAAGAAACTTATAATTAGAGGATGAAGATGTTAATGAAATTAATGATTCCCTAAATTTTTGAGTAATAATTTTGTTACATGATTTTGATGAAAGTTGACGAAATTTGTGGTTGAAAAGTTGATAAAACTCATGGATTCCAAGAAATGTGTGGTTGAAATTGAGTTTTAGATAAATGGGGCCAAACATGGGCATAATCTATTTTACGTTGGTTTGCAAATTAGACCTTTAATTTTGTTAATTAGTTTTAGAATAGATTTTTTTAAAAGGGTTCGTGGAATAGTAATATCAATTTTTATTTTTAGAATTCTCCAATTGTTCTATATCGAGGCTTATGCATCGCCTCACAAAGATAAAAAGCCTCAGTACTCAGTTTAGCCTTATTAAATATTGATCAATGTGGAGGAACCAAAAATATCGGAACATCATGAAAGTTTTTGTAATGTCAAGTGAGCTCTTTCTCTCTAGTCAATAACAATATTTTTAAAACAAGAGGGCTTGTTTTATACCTGGTATTTTTTTTGTGCCACATAGACTCGTATTCCCAGAGAAAGGAGGAGGGCTGTGTTCGTCAATCACCAAATATACCACCCAATCATAATTTTGAAAGGATAACTGGGATCATTTTTGTGATTCCAAAATTTATATAATCAGCCATAGGCTGATTCTGTGATTGGTTGTTATAGTTTAGGTAATCTGTTTCATGACATCTTGATGGAAACATGTTCGTTGGATTGGGGCTACAACAGACATGACACTTAAATCTCATCGCCAGCTTGCAGAGTCTTAAAAAGATATACTACTGGCCAAATATGAGAAGTTAACATTTATTGATGTCATGTGTGTGAGTATTTTTAGGGCCTGCAGGATGTTTGGACAGAATTCTGAAATAGGAAACTCTATATTAGGAGATCGATTAGACAGCATATAATGAGAGGTTTCCTTTTGTAAATAATCGTGGAATGTTTATTTAATGAGAAAAAGGCTTATGAGTTGGATAGTTTTTCCAACAAAGCTCTCTTGTTTTAACAATGTGATGGCTATTCGTTACTGTTTTCTTGCTATTTTTGCTATGGCCTTTTCAGTCTGAAAGTTTAAAATTGGGAAAGGATAAGTTTATGATTAAAGAACAAATTTCAATTAAAAAAGCAGTGTTTTTCTTACCCCTTGCTGTATTTTTAAAGTTCACTCCTTTGTTAGAGAAGAAAATAGTGGTAATAAAAAATTTTGTTTTTGTCGAAAAGATGCTTTCTGTAATGCTATACTACGAACAGTTTAGAAATTGAAATAAAAAATTAGGATGACCAACCTGATTCAACTGAATTCAACCCGGAAGCTTATTCCTTTCTTAGTTGAGTTTAGGATATATGATCCTCGTCTTCCACCCGCATTTAGTTGGGTTAGTTGGGCTAGCGTATATGATCCTTGTCATCCAACTGCTCTATCAATGGTCATCTCGAACATTGTGATCCACCGACTTCCTGTTACAATGAAATTTCTAAAATAACTAGGTTTTGTTTGTATGCATTGCGTTCTTATTGACATGCTATATAATTGATTCTGCACATATCAGTTTTTTTTTTTTTATCTAGGGGGTGTTTGATAGTCATTTTTATGTAAAAATGTATTTTAGAATAGTAAAGTGATGTGAAATGTGTGGTTGAAAAATAAGGAAAAGTTTTTGATTTACGTGTAATATTATTTTAAAAAAGAATGTGTGGTTGAAAAAAAGAGAGAGAAAAATGTATTTTGAAAAAAAGGACTACCAAACGGGGCCCTAATGTTTTTTATACATTTTCTTTGTGTCTGACATAAACATTCCCAATTAAACAAGTTTGGAAAGGGAGAGGTAGAATGACATTAACATGGTTCAACTCAGTGGCAAAGCATTTGGCACATTGGATCTTCCAATAAATATAGCAGTCAATGAAGTGACAGGAAATGAGCGGTATAGTGGATCCAGATATTATTAATTGGTTTAGTTTGTTGTTGCACGTGTTTATATATGCATATTAGTTGTAAATGCAAATTGCTGATACTTTCTATGGTGAGGTATTACAGTTGTTCTTATTTATGTTAGTAACAGAAGTCCTATAGCTGTGATTTTTATACATTGATGAAGATGTTCAACTTATTACTTTGCTTGAAATTGAATCATTTTTCCCTTGTAGATACTGGAACAAAGACATTGAGACATCCACAAGCAGAGGATGATGATGAAGAGAGGTTCCAAGCTGACCTTAAGAAAGCTGTACGGCAAAGTCTTGGTATGTGTCTAGTTAACTTTTTTGCTTTTAATTTCTAATTGGAGCTACCCTGCGAATGATTCAACCAAGTGTAAAATTCCATTCAGTTCATGTTAGTGATTTCAGGAGAATAATGATCACATACAGTATGCATCTTTTCCCCATAGTCCAAAATGCACTTGACATCATTTTGGTATGTTGCTGAAATTACTAAGATTGGATTCATTCAACACATCTTGAATGCGCTTGTGTATCTCTCTCTATTATTTTCAGATTTTTATATAATACCTTGTACAACTTCCCTTAAGAGATGCCTTCGCTTTTGTTAATAAGATATCGAAGATTACGATGGAGATTACAAACAACTTTCGCTACCTTAATTATGTGCATATTTGTATTTTACCATATTTACGTTTTCCATATTTAGATTGACCCTAGTAGTATGTATGTAAACTTCTTTCCATATATGGGAATGAATCCCAAACAGGAAGATCATTCTGCCAATTCGTGTCGTGGTTTAGACTACTGACGTGTTTACCAAGGCACTCGACACTGGCATTAATTTCTTGTCAGTAAATTGATGCTTCTAGATTGTCCATCATCAATTTGAGGGGGGATGATCGATGGAGATTACAAACAACTTTCACCATCTTAATTATGTGCATATTTGTATTTTATTATATTTACGTTTTTCATATTTAGATTAACCCTAGTAATATGTATGTAAACTTCTTCCTATATATGGGAATGGATCCTGAACGGGAAGATCATTTAGCCAATTCCTGTCACCTTTCTTATCTTTTCCGTTTTCATTCTCTTCCTCTTTTTCTCGCTTTTATTTTCTGTGGATTTTGTCTGTTGAGTTTGTTAACATACAATATGTTGTTCATATTATTGACATCAACATTAAGAGCCCAACTGGGTACTGCTTGGCTTTGGAGTTCCGACTCAAATATAATACACCATTCCCATAGATGCCATAAGTACATATAGAAGCAAATTAAGCAGTTACAATTGCATTCCTTATTCATCAAGTTGCTTACATGTTTTCTTGCATTGTGTTTCATATTAATGCCAGACACGTTGCATGCACATCGAAAACTGCCTTTGACGTCGGGTTCATCAATTCCACAAAACATGCTTCCCGAAATTAGTTATTCGGGTGTTTCATCTATTGAAGTCCCAAGCGATGGTATTAACTGGACAGATGGGTACGGCACAGGGCTGAAAAACGAAATTGGTGAATATAATTGCTTTCTCAATGTCATAATACAGGTTGGCATTAGAGAGCATTTTACTCTTTGCTGTTTCAATTAGTTTTCTCCTTGTCTGTTTATCATTGTCTTCAAAGCAACATCATCTTTCCTTCTGCCTGAGAATTCATTTCTTTTGGTTTTCAGTCATTGTGGCATTTAAGACGTTTCCGAGATCATTTTTTGAGGAGATCATCGTTAGAGCATGTTCATGTTGGTGATCCTTGTGTCATATGTGCTTTGTATGATATCTTCATTGCTTTAAGCAAGGCTTCCGTAGATACATGTAGAGAAGCTGTTGCGCCTACTTCTTTAAGAGTTGCTCTTAGCAATCTGTATCCTGAAAGCAATTTCTTCCAGGAGGTAAATTTCACTACTGCTAATCTCATTAACAAGATTATTCCTTTCCCAAAAGATAACTATCAGATATCATTGTCCGATAATATTATGACAACATTCAGGGTCAGATGAATGATGCTTCTGAAGTGCTGGGTGTTGTGTTTGATTGTCTGCATCAATCATTTACTCCTCCACCTTCTGTGTCTGACACTGAATCGGTAGATAGCAACTGTATGGGTTCCTCGGATTGCACAAATGGATCTTGTGTTGCACACACTCTTTTCGGAATGGACGTATTAGAAAGAATGAACTGTTACAACTGTGGTTTGGAGTCCAGATATTTGAAGTACAAGTCTTTTTTTCACAATATTAATGCCAGTGCTCTCAGAACAATGAAGGTACATGGATTCAAATTATTTTTACTATTCATCTATATCCTCAGCCTATTCAGGAGGAAAAATAATGCTTTCCGTTATGATAATGCTTATTCTGCTGGTGGGAGTAAAATGGAAATATTACATGAATTTATGTTTGCCAAAATGGTCAATTGGTGAAATGCAGTTGGTTAAAATTTTCATCTGTACCTTGTAGGTTATGTGCCCTGAAACCTCCTTCGACGAGCTTTTAAACTTCGTTGAGATGAATCACCAGTTAGCTTGTGATCCAGAGGATGGTGGCTGTGGGAAGCTAAACTATATTCACCATATTCTCTCAACACCGCCCCATGTTTTTACAACAGGTGACTTTTCGGCTCCATTTTATATCTATTCGTTATTTTAGGTTGTGCACCAAAAGATGGCTCGGTGAAGTTAATTTAATTGCCACTTATTCTTATGAGCCACTAATGTATTACATTTTCCATGTTTTGTAGTTCTGGGTTGGCAGAAAACTTGTGAGAGTGTAGAAGACATAACAGCAACATTAGCAGCCTTATCAACTGAGATTGATATAAGTGTCCTTTATCGGGGTCTCGATCCAAAAAATAAACATTGCTTGGTTTCAGTGGTAAGCTTTCTTACTCTTCTTCTATATATTTCTGATTTTCTATATTTTTCTTTTATTAGTCCTTATAAAAGTGGTGAGAGCTGTACTCTTCTTCTGCATGTATCTCTCTTTGCACGGAAATGTGTATGGTGTCAAGATCTTGTGAAAAGACATTGCCCTGTTGTGAAAGAGATAGTTTGGAAAAATCCATGACGTACAACCTCTCACAGAATATCATCCCAAGATAACTAAGAAAAGAAAACGTTAAAATCGCAAGTAATAGGAAAGCAATGAATCAAGCCTAAGCAGTCTTAATAACTTTTCCTCTTTTAACTCTTCAAAATGGAATTTTCTTCTGAAAAAAGAAAGAAAATAGAGAACAATTTCTCCATACCTCGGCATTCTGATGCTAAACAAGTTTGAAGTCACACGCTTGTCATATACTCATGTTTACTAACTGCTTTCTATCCTTTCTTGAACTTTATTCTCTAGGTTTGCTATTATGGGCAGCACTATCATTGTTTTGCCTATAGTCGCGATCTTGAACAGTGGATTGTGTATGATGACAAAACTGTGAAGGTATAATTGCCAGGCTGTTTCTGTGTATTATATCATTCACTCCTTTGTAGTTTGTCATTTATCTATACTTTATGTCCAGGTAATTGGTGGCTGGGACGACGTTCTTACAATGTGTATAAAAGGACATCTACAACCCCAGGTCCTCTTTTTTGAAGCTGTAAACTAGTAAAATTCGAAGTTGATATCACAAAATACGGGGTTCAGCATGGCTGTTGTTTAATCTTGAATATAGTTGCACTGGCTATTTCTGGTCGTGCAAGTTTCTGGCGGAGCTTGCAAAAGATTTACTTTTTGAACTTACAATGCTGATGCCAAGCCCAGATTGTATTATTAAGTCAAGACTTCAGTTATATAGAAGAGAAATAAAAGCAGTTACCTATAAGAGACGAGGAGAGTTCAAAAATGTTTCATTTGAAGATTGGTGAATCAGAAATAGGTTTTGATTCTCATGATACTGAGATAAGATGAGTAAAATTCGGGATTTATCTTCAAATTCAGGCATCTTTCTAATCTGATATGGTCGAAGACCAACCTGTAAAAAATAGCAACCACCTGGTTTTTTCGTTAATGGAATGTAATTGGAGCATGTGAAAGTCGGCATCTCAATGGGAACTATCCTCTGGATGGTTGATGGATACTACAATTGTACACAGGAAATTCTTGTACTTAGATTCAGATCTCTATTAATTTCAGATACAAAAAAGTTATGTAAAGATCAGATCTCAACTCCTTGGGTGCATTATCCCGTGGCCTTGGTAACTTCTCTCTTTCTCAGTTTTCGATGGGAAAAATTTTGCGTAAATCAGTTCCAAGAAGTCTTAATGTTATGATACGAAGTTGATGGTGGCGAAAATGAATGGTATAAATTTCCTTTTTTATCTGCCTTTAAGGTTTTGAATTGCAACTTTCTGAATATATGGTTGGATTTACTGCAATATCATGTCATGGTATTTATTGTTTCCATTTTAGTGTGCAACGAAAGTGAATAAATTCCTTGCATTTCTCATTTTATGAAAGCATATGTAAGATTTTCAACTACCATTTTGTAAATCTTGAAATATTATACTACTGAATGTAAAAATGTAAAAAATTAGTAAGAGAAGTTGTAGAAAATGTATATATATTCTATTTTATGCATTTTAATTTTTATCCATTCGCAGGCCAGCCCTGCCGGGCACTGGCACGACTTGCTACAGTGAGGGGGCTTGGGTTGAAGAGCCTGTAAACTGCAAAATAAATCAAGGATAATGCTACTTGTATATTCAGTGGTCACCGTTCCTTCATTCTCACGTGAAGGGAGATCCACTTTAAATAAATTATATTTTAATTGAAGCTGGCCCTTCATGTGAGGGGGTGGATACCTCGATGCATACGTAGCATGACCCATAAACCAAATGATTGAAGGAGTTTGATAAAATATTTAAAGGTTCTAATCTGAACTGTGGTTTTTGTGTATATTCTTCAAGTTCATTTTAACGCTACTACATTGATTTCAAATATTATTCTACTTTATCGACGATAAGATAAAATTAATTATCTATATTTGTATCAAACTAAAAGTCTTAAGCGTCAATAGAATCACAATAAATTGATTATTTTATGGAGATTTTTGGCTTTCAAGGCATGTTTGGCAGATATTTTAATTCAATTAACATCAATTTTTTGACGTTAATTGATTTCAAATATTATTCTACTTTATTGATGATAAGATGAAATTAATTATCTATATCTGTATCAAACTAAAAGTCTTAAGCACCAATAGAATCACAATAAATTGATTATTTTGTGGAGATTTTTGGCTTTCAGAACATGTTTGGCAGAGATTTTAATTTAATTAACATCAATTTTTTGATCGCTATTTCATTATTTCAGTCGTCGTTTTTAAATTCTTCTCTCACAGAAAGGACTCATATTATTTCTAACGATCAAAAAATCAATTAACAAAATCTCTACCAAACAAGCACGAATTACCAAAACATAAATCATACCATTTTAGAACTTTAGTACAGATTAAAACCGTTTCGTTGTCGAATACACGTGGCATCAAATATATAAGAAGGTAGTTTTAGTTCAGTTTTTGATATTAAAGGAAATTAGCACTTGTTTGAGACCTACTTTTTGACCAGAAATTAAAAAAAAAAAAAAAAAAGCATTATTGAACACTGTTTTGATCCAATTTCAACCACTTTCTTTAATAAAGTAATATTATACGTAAACTTAAATTTTTTCCTTATTTTTTAACCACGCATTTTTTATCAATACACTATTCAAAAATAATTTATTTATTTATTTTAAAAAATGGGGCTCAAACAATATAACCACTTTTGTTAAAAATTTTAAAATATACCTTATTTTATTGTTAAAGATAACTACCAATTTCGATCAAACCTTTAATAATATCTGACCTATTCTAATTAGGGGTTCTACTCAAGTTCTTTCAGGTGACTCGATTCGGTTCTACTCAAGTTCTAATCGTTTATGGGAATTATAGTTGAGAATCGATCAATTTCGGTTCAATTCTCGGATCTAATACCAGGGATAAAAAAATTAGATTTCACCGAAATGTTTACCTTTTATTTTTAATGGTAGTTGGTGCATAACTTCTTCTTATGAATTTTAAAATTGTATATCAAACTCATGTTTAATTTAATATGGTATTATTTATAAACTTAGACAGAAGAATCCTTTAAATACCATAGATGTAAATTTTGATTAATAAGATGCATGGGTTTCTTTCATCCTTTTCAAGTTAATATTTTGAGCGAAAATAGAAGTGATATTGGAATATGTTTTTAGAAAAATCATTAAGCTAATAGTTAAGCGTTATATGCAAATTGTCGCGTTTAATTAAACTTCAAATATGCAGAGCATAGCATCAATATTGAGCATTTTAATAAATAGATTATGAAGAATTAAGTATTAATTAATTATAGCTTAAGAACTCTATGTATAGACGCTTCATTTGCCTCGTTTAGCAATTCATTGTTTCTTTAGCTACGAGTAAGCAAGATATAAGTTTCAAGTTCTTTTCGAAACTTCGTTCACGACATTGCTACCATAGTGGGACATTCGAGGCTGTTTCGCGCGGGTTAGTCGCTAACAATTAAAAGGGATCAGACGATTGTGTAAGGGACAAACCTCTTGAGACAAAGTCCCAAAAAGGGGTATTCTTTTATTGGCGATGACTTTACAATCGGAAATCAAAAACAAAATGCCTCCAAGGGGCGCAAGCACACGAGTTACTGAAAGAAAAGTGTTTAAGTCTAAAAACTAAGGAAATGAAAATTACATGTTCTCTGTTCGAGAGTTTTGGATTCAGTCCCTTGCTTCTATGTCCTTTCTCCCTTTTATACTTCATAGACGATCTCTTTATGATCAACTACTCTAAAAACTGCTTGATCGTCCTATAACTACCCACTTTCTTCGTAATGGCCACCTTGTCATGAAAACTGCCTTTTAACTGCTGCCATTACCCTTCATCGTTCAACCGCTTTCGATTGAATTCCTTGAATCGTGGAACGTGATAGGGCTGCTTTAATAACTGCTTTGATAACTGCACTTCTTGATAACTACGACGCGTTATGTTTGTTAATACCTTGGGCGACTTGAATAGAGTAACAGCTCTGGGCGAGAATAGAGTAACAGCTCTGGGCGACTGTATGACACTTCATTCGCTCAGATCCTGGGCGACTTGCAAACTTGGGCGATGGCGTTACCGCGTTCTTGGACCTCCTTATTTGGGCCTTCATCTTGGTTTATTCAATTGGGCTTCGTTCTTTGGGCTATCTGATTTGGGGATCCTCCAATTGGGCTTCACTCCTTGGGCTGTCCGATTTGGGCTGAATTTTTATGTGTCAACAATTACCCCCCAATATGGCAGAATTAATAATAATTATTGAATTTTGCCATATTCACTTTGTGTTTCCAGCAACATTCGAAATTTCCAAAAATTTCAATCATTGTTTCCTTCTATAACTTGAAAAAGTGCGTCGTTTTGCAAACCCTTATAAACCCCAAACACGCCATTTCACTGCCACCAAACCACGCCTCATATTTTTTGCGTCTCTTTCACGATTCACTGTTCATCTTTTGCTTCCCTGCTACGTAACCCTGAAAAGCTTCGTTCCTTCTCAAATGGCTGCTTCACAATCTCAAGCTAGCGATTCCTTTAGTTTTGATTACTTTCAGAAACTTCTGAGTCGCTCATACATAACCCCAAGTTTTCTCGCACCCGCCGACGTTGGACGTAATGAGTTTTACTTGGGTCCTTTTTTCAACAATGCGGAGGCAGTTGAACAGGCGATGGTGGGTCAACTGTTTCCTTGCACTCATGGCCCTCCTTTTCTAAACTCTCTGCCGCTGGGGCCACTTCGCGAAAGAGGTATTCGCACTTGGCCTAAATCTGATGTAGCTTTCCGTAGGTGGCATGCTCGTCTTGTGGGTCATGGTCCTACTAAGGCACTTTTTGATAACGCTAGGATTTCTGATTTGTTAGAAATCTCTATTCGCCCCCCTACTTTTGATTCAACACTTTTTTCGATTGCTTTGAGTTTTTGGTCTTCCGAGTATAATACCTTTATTTTCCCTCTTGACCCCATGTCTATTACTTTAAGGGATGTTGTGGCCCTAGTGAATCTACCACCTTTGGGCGATACCATTTTTCCTGGTATCTTGGTTTCTGGTGGCGCCCCAAAGTTTGGTAAAAACTACACCGAATCTTATTCAAGCCTGCAAACCCTTCACAATCATTCGAGCGCTGAGCCTTCCCATACTGAGCGAGTGGCCTTTCTTCTAGTTTGGCTTTGTAAATATGTTTTGTGTGTGCTAAGCATAAAGCTCTCCCTGAGTTATTTACCCATAGCGTACGAATTGGCGCGTGGCAGGCCTTTGAATTTATGTTCTTTCTTTTTGACTGCCCTTTATAGAGGCATGGCCTCTCTTCAAACTCAATTGAAGAATGTTGCATCTCCCACTGACAGTGGACCTCTTTGGTTCACTCAACTGTGGTTGAGATCCTATTTTCCATTGCTTGGTGCTCCATCAATTTCTCGCTCCTCTGCTAGTTGTTATGGGCTAGCCATGGAGCCCTTGGCTCCTGTAAATATGTCCAGAAGGGACATTTTTTTATTTTTTTATTCTTTGAATTTAATCTCTTCCATTTTTCCTTTTCCTCCTTTTTTGACTCCAAACTATGTACATCCTCCCTCTACTATAGACAGCGCGAGCACCTCCCTGCTCATTTGGATCCAGTTTTTAACCGGGAGGGAGCTATTTCATGATATTTTAACTGGGACCAATGCCAAGGCAGGGGTAGAAATTTATGCTCCCCAATTTTTTGCTCGCCAGCTTGGTTTCGGCCAAACTTAGCCTGTTCCTCCTTACTATTCAAGGAACTTAACTGACCGTTTTCATACTATTAATAAGGTGGAGGCAGAGGCTATAAATGCTCGCAATCTTCTTTTAACCAGCTATTTTTCATTAGCCCCCTTCAATTCTAGCCACGCCATTCATCATCTTTTTGAACAGCTCTGGCCGTCAGTGAAGTGCAGATTATTTGCGACTGATGCCAATCGTGCCTTTCATTCACTAGACCAGCCGAGCATTTCTTCCCCTCTTCCTGTTTTAGTCACTCCTTTGTCCATCCGGAGTCCTTCTCCTCCTCGTCGCGCTAAACAGTCTGCTCGTCCATCTTCTTCTCTCCCTGCCAAGCCTACTACAGCCAAGAGTGCCCCAAGCCGCAAACGGCCAGCCTCAGCATCTCCCATTCTGGAGGATGATGTTGATGATGATGATGATGATACCCCTCTTATCGTCAGGAGGAAGGTAATTAAATTGGTTTACCCACAAGCATACTTTTTCATACTTGAAACTTTTCTGTGTGCTGACGATCTATTTGGATTCCTCAGAAAAGTTCAGCATCTCCTTTAAAGGCTTTGGCGTCGGTAGCTCCTGCTCCATCATCC